TTGGGTGTTTAAGGGTTGGCGCAGGGCTTGCAGAATGTTGTTACAGGTTTTAATTGACCATTGGCTCGGAGGCTTCTATGAAGTTTGTCATACAATGTAGCGAATGTTCCCAAACCTACACCAAGCTTTTTCCCATAGTCGGGTTCAGGGTAGACAATTCCCTTGTCCCCTGGATGCTCGAACCGGTCAGTAGCCCCGGTGCCAAATCATCTCGTCGGCATCATATGTTGCTACGATATAAATGGCAGCTAGAAGCCCTAAGCCAAGCTAGTATGGATATTATCTTGATAAGACCATCATCATTATTGTTGAGTGTCTTCGCCGTTTAGGGAAGCCGATGCCCTGCAATATACAGCCTTTCGCCCAATTATCAAGCCAACTTTTGAATTGTGTCTGTCTCTCAATCCGTACCTAAACCCTAAAACTACGCTTTTGGGGGTGTCGTGCTTACCCTCTCGGAGTAGGATCTGAGACTTCCATAGAGGTCTTCAACCTAGTTCTTGCTTTCTAACACCCAAGCTGTTAGCAGGGTTTATGGTTTACGGTTTTGGGGCTGGGGTCCAGGCTTTGCGGCTTATATGACTTGATGATGTCATGAAAGTATTCTGTGGTTATCAACAAGGTAAATCAAGTGCAGCGGAAGTCTCAGAATGCCAACATGTTCCAACAGCCCCCAACAGATGGATTCTGATTTTGAGGATCCCCTCATCCCTTGGAGCCTAGACCCTAAACCCCAGAAAAAAAAAACAAAAAAACACAGACACACACACACACACCTAAACCCCTCAACTCTAAACCCTAAACCCCTAAACCCCCTAAACCCTAAATCCTACAGGACCGACTCCAGCTTCGCCGCAGCTCACTAAGTCTCACTCTCCTCTCGTTTGGGGTTTAGGGTTTCGGCTTATAGGGCCTGTAAAGTTTAGGGTTTAGGACTTAAAGTTTAGGGTTTATGAGCCTTAAACCCTAAACCCTAAACCCTAAACCTACACTGTTAGGGTTTAGGAGCCCTAAACAGGACATTCTAAAGCAAACGCGTTCGGACGCCTGAGCCTAGCAGCCTTCAGGGTTTAGGGTTTTGGGTTTAAGGTTTAGGGTTTAAGGTTCAGGGTTTAGGGTTTAGGGCCTTTGGGTTTAGGGTTTAGGGTTTAAGGTTTTGGGTTTAGGGTAGGTTGTTTAGCGACCCATGACCCTGGGTCTAAGTCGCGCTACCTGGTTTCCACAAGCTGTCTGAATACAAGCCTGGCTATAGTGTCCTTAAACCCTAAACCCTCTAACCCTAAACCCTAACTCAGGACTACGCAGGTGTTCTTGGTCGTCTAGGCCTTAGGCCAAGCTTCGCTGCAGAGTTGCCGTGGCTGCCATGCACTTCGACCACAGATCCAGGAGGACTGCTGGCAGGTTTAAGCCTAGGGTTTTTCTAGGGTCACTGTCCCAAAGGGTCCTATTCACTGCTATGGGGGATGCTTTCCCAAATCATAGTAACAATTCCCAATATAGAAATCCTACATTCTCCTAACCCTAAACCCTAAACCCTAAACATAGGTACTTTGGACCCTTTGGGTGTTGCAGGTTTGGGTTCGGGGATCTGGTTCCCGGGGATGTAGCGTAGCCTTCGCGAGACGCTAACCCAAACCAACCAACCTCCCATGGGTACCGGGTCCTTGTTGCACACATTTTGCTTTTTTGTCATAATAAAACCCAATAGTTAGGGCTTAGGATTTAGGGTTTAGGGGGTGTAGGTACAAGGCTTCAAAAAGATAGTTTTTAATATAGCCCCAACAGGGAACCAGGATAGAGGTCTTCATGATCCCAAGGCCCACATCCCTAGAAATTCACATGCCTCCCCCTAAATCCCCAGTAAGGCCAGAGAATATATATATATATATATATGTATATATATATATATATAAATATACTATTTGGGTACATGGACCGGATAAGGGGCACCATAGCTTGCCAGGACTCCTAGAAGCCTTACAGCCTTACAGCTTAAACCCGATGATACTGTTGATCGTATAAATCCTGCATTTACCTTAAAGAACCCTAAACTACCGGAATTATGGTATGTTCCTTATTATGGATAACGCAAACCGTAGTGAGGACCCTTAACCAGGAGCCGTCAAAAATGCCAGTAGGATCCTTTCCTTAAGGGCTCCCCCAAAAGGGCAACGAACCCCAAGCCCTAAACGACGGTTGACGATACAATTCCTGCATTACCCATAATATAATATGGAATATACCATCATTCCCATAGTTCAGGGCCCCTTTATATCATCAACAGTAACCCTGAACAGTAAATGCCAAACCATCCCCACTAATTAAGCCCTGTAACCTAAGCCGACCCTATAGCACTCAATCCAAAACCAAGACCGGTTTGCAGACACCCCTTTCATGTCGATGCTTTGTCCTTCTTCTCGTAGTAACAGCGCCAGTAGGCAGAACAAGTTATGGGAGTATGTTCCACGACTATCCTTTTATTCGTGACGGCAAGGGGCTAGTACTTCACAGATTCGTAAGCCCTAAACCATAAACCCTATATTAGGGGTTTGAGTTGAGGGTGTAGGGTTTAGCCTTACGGCTCCGTGTGCCCAAAAAGGTGTATGCTTAGGACCTAGCGGGATTCCGATTATGGGTATTTTACAAGGCCTACCCAGAGAAGCCAATACACCGTAATTAAGGACTGCGGAATATACCTTAAATTCATGATTTAAGGTCTACTCCTTGACAAAGGGGTATTGGCTTCTCTGGGTAAGTATCCTGTAGTATATACTTTGGCTTATCATTGTCCCCATATGGCCCATATGTGTACTTCAAGGCCGAAGTATATACTATCCTATAATGTAAGGTATATTCCTTAATTAAGGAATATACCTCATAATACTAAGGCCCCTATAGTTTAAGATATATTCCTTATATACTATCCGAGTACATGGACTCTTGACATGGGTTCTAAATAATTAGGACTAGTCTGTAAGCCTTAAATCCTAAACCACTCACTATACTTAGTTCCCTAATACCCAACCTTTAAACTTTTTGGGTTCTTGTGATTCAATAGTAATCTGAAAGTTTAACCTTTTTATTTCCATGGCTTATTGGGGAAGTAAGTATACTAACACTATCCCCCAAAGCCCTGTTTGAACTGTTCAGGCCCGGCTGCATATGGTCGACCCGAAACCCAAAGGCCTTGGACTAAACCTTTTGTGACCCTTAATTATTAAAGGCACCGTGAAACGGTCTGCGAAGATGAAGCAGCATAGTGCTTAGGGTTTAGGGTCATACCCTATATAAGCAGATAGAACCCACGATGAACCTTACAAAGCTCACCTATCTATGCCATTCAAACCCCAATGCCCCATAAACCCTAAAACCCGGAACCCAGCCCTGGAGGAAGCCAACAAACATGATGTCCGACTTCACCAGTGAGAGCAGCGAGAGCCAGAGTGGGCACGGAAGGCTGTCTTCTGGAATGGAGGGTTTTGGGGTGTTGGGTTTTGGGGGCTGCCTATCCCTTACAAACCCTAAACCCTTGAAATGTGAAGCCCTACAACATGGCTAGGAATGGATTCCGGGATTGATCTTTGCCTTCTAGCTGTGTAGGGTTTTATGCCTTTGTGAGGTTTTAGGTGCTGTATGCAGGGATTAGGGCTTCAGGGCAGATGAGGCTGATGATTCGGGCATTCCCAGAGACTCCAAAAGCCCTTAATTAGGGACTATACCTTAAATCATCTTAGGGATCCCTTTATAGTTCAAAATCGATTCCTTAATTAGACGGTTTTCGAGTCTCTGGGTTTAGTGAAGGGCTGTGTGCAGCAGGGTTCAGAGTCTGTTCTGCTCATGCTGCTTGGGTTTAGGGTTCAGGGGTTGAGGGTTTAGGGTTTAGGCTTCCAACCACGGCATAGCCGAACTCACACGATCATGTATACGACATATGGACAGGTTCCTTTCTCCAAATGGTCCATGTATAAGACTCATGTAGGATATACTTTGACCCTAAAGTACCCAGATACCTACTTGGAGGATCATGGGACTAAGTAAGTAAGGTTACAGGTCCTTTAATTAGGTTTATGAGTATAGCTACCTCATTTATAACCCTAGTTACTAAGTCCCATGATCTTCTATAAGTAGAAAGGGTTTACTTCACTTCAAGGCCACAGTGCGTACTATATGCGTACAGAGGGATCCTTATACTCTCAATCCTAACTAAGGACCCTTAAAGGACCCCTATAGAACCCTTAAGGGAACCCTTAAGGGAACCCTTAAGGGAACCCTTAAAGGACCCCTAGAACCCTTAAGGGAACCCTTGAAGGACCCTTAAAGGACCCCTTAGAGGAGCCCTTGAAGGAGTTCTTGGACGAGTACAGGGACCCTTAGGGTTTCTCGAAATTTACGAAAGATCTATGCTTACTTCGAGGATCATGAGACTTAGTAACTAGGGTTATAAATGAGGTAACTATACTTATAACCCTAAATAAAGGACCTATAACCTTACTTACTAAGTCCCATGATCCTCCGAGTAGGATCATGGGACTTAGCAAGTAGAGCTATAAATACCCTAATTGGAGTTATAAGTAACTATAAGTGTGGTTACCTTATTTATAGCCCTAGTTACTAAGTCCGATTGGTCCTCCAAGTAAACCCCTAGACCCTAGGCCGCGCCTCAGAGAGTCCAGGGTTTAGGGTTATTTGGGTTTGGGAGCTTCAGGCTTTGAGTTTAGGGTTTGGGTTTTGAGGTTGGGGGTTAGGCTTTTGGGTTGAGGGAGCCAAAGAGCACGTGCGCATGTGAAGCTAGTCACAAAACAGAACAAACCTTATCCTTCGGGTTTAGGTTTGAAGGGGTTAGAGTTCCTTGTTAAGCCCTATATCTCTCGACCGCTGTTGTTTCTTTGCTGTAAGGTCCCATATGCAGCTACCGTGAAGCATTCGACTGGAGGCAGAAGCTTACGAATCCTTTTTTGACCCTATAATACACAGCAGCGACGGACAGGACGCCTACGCCGATGATGTTCGATATAGCCAGCGAATGCAGTGGAAGCGGCAGCTCAAGAACCGAATCAGAAAGGAGGCGGACCTTGGGTAATGCAAGGGCCATGCGGCTTTTGGGTTGCAGGGCTTAAGGTTAAGGAACTGTAGGATGTTTCTCTAAGATCCAGTGTGTATATATATATATATGTATATATGTATTTTTCGGCTCTGAAGTGCCTAAACTGAAAGTACTTTTGGCGAAAGCATTATGTATATATATATATATATATACACCTATAGGCCCAAACTAGTCTCTGTTTGCGCTTTGTGTTTAGGATCCTACAAGGTAATCCCGAACAGGAACTACAATGGAGCCTATGGGCACATGGCCCCTTAGGGTTTTGGATGTCGGATTCGGAACGTATCAGCCATTTTGGCTTCGGGGCCGTCGGGTTCGGGAGTTGAACAGCTTGGGTCTCAGAATTTGCGGGGTTTGGGCTTTAGCTGGACCCTAAACAACCTACCTGTTTTGGTTTCCTTATTCATTGCGGTTTCTCTATTCCTTAAAAACATAGGTTGTTTGGGGTTAAGGTAGGGTTTCGTGTTTATTGCAGCCTGAGGTTTCGAGTCTGGGGGGTCTAGCGTTTAGTGTTTAGGGTTAACTCAACCTTGCACGCCCTATAGTCTGCAATATCGGGAACATTGCTCGCATGAACTCGCATTCAAACCCTGCTGCCCTGCTTCAAAAATATGTACCACATCTACCCAAAGGGTCCTAGGTACTGTTATGGGGATACTTTCCCAAATCATAGTAACAATTCCTAGTATAGAAACCCTACATTCTACTACTTTGGACCCTTTGGGCCAGAATCCCCGGATCCGTTTTGCCTCGGCTTATAACCTTCAATCCCAAACCCAAACCCAAACCCTACACCCTGAACCCCAAAGGGGGTCATGGTATAGGGCCAACGTGTCCGCTCCTTTTGGAATTGACTACCGGTCTCAGCATCCGGCTGCTCGGCAGTCGAACCCAGAAAGCCTATCATACCCATAGGTGGCAGCGTAGTTCCTTTTTGGGGTTACCTTATAGGATCCTGAAAAATAAACCACAAAACGGACCTGACTGGTATGGCGCCTATAGGTATATTATCAACGGTTTAGGTTTTTTTTTGGGGGGGATGCCACGTTTACACAAGATCAAGCAAGGGGGAATCACACGATCGTCGACCGGCCATGCCGCAAAGTCGTGGTCATGGCTAGCTGCGTCCCTTGGTCTCTACTCGTCTCACTCAGAAAACGCGATATTTTCCTCCAAAATCTACGACTTATGGGCTTATATTCCCTATAGGCATACTTAAGCCTAATCTTGGGAATGATTTTGCCCAGCAACGCCGGACTCGAACTGACGACGGAACGTCGAACATGGATGCCAGAACATTGCATGTAGACTGCTGTACGTGTCGCGCCGATTCCGCTTCGCGGTGGGCATGAGGCTTCAACATTTGCCTGAAGCCTGTGAAACCTCAAAGGGTTTAGGGTTTAGGGTTTAGGGTTTTGTTTTAGGGTTTAGGGTTTCGGTTTATAAGGTTCTTATACCATATTTCACTATAGGGATTCATAGTGCAGGGGTTTAGCCCTACTTATCAGGGTCATTTGGCCCCCAAACCCTAAACCCTAAACCCTAAACCTTAAATGGCTACGGCTCAAGCATCTGGCCCAAACCTTTCTTGCCTGTTGCCCTCCGCTCCTTTCTCTCTCTTCTGCCCAACATTCCCTCCGCTTGTTCGACGTTTACGCTGGCGGCCAGTCCCTCTTGCTGCCTTACTCCTTTGACAGTTCTGGTCCCGGGTGACATAGTGATCTGGCGGCCACCACGTCTACCTGGGGGTGATCTTCTCCTGGTCTTCCTTATCTGAGAGTTCACCGGGGTCTTTGGCGGCCAGGTCCTCTTCTTGCCTTACCACCTTGGTGTGTTGGTCCGGGAGGACATCGTGAACTGGCGGCCACTCTGTCTTCTTGGGGGTGATCTTCCTCCGCCTGTCTTCTCTTGGCACGATGGAGATGCCTGATGAGGCCCCCACCCAGCTTCATGAAGTTGACGCGGAAGTCCTTGACGGCTCCCCCACTGAGGTTGCAGAGAACGAGTCGGACATGGAGGTTGAGATTGCCGTGAAGAAGGAGGAAGTCGACATGGGACCCAAGATGGAAAAGAGAAAACGCAGGGATGAGTTCGACTCTGATGGTGGTGAAGCTGGGAGGCGAGATCGTGATACAGAGGAAAGCCCGTCTAAACGCCCGCCACCAAGAGGGGAACTTCGCCCTGACGATCGACCTGTCTCGGGAAGTGAGCTTCGTCAACTACTACAACTGCACGCCCAGGACATGAAAGAGGCCTGGAAGACTTTTGAGCACCGACTCGACAAAGCAGAAGGAAGACTCGACAGGACCGAAGTTATCCAGAAGAAGCAGGTTGGCGACATTGCTTCCCTTGCTGGCAGAGTCAAGATCAACGAAAAGGACGTGCAGAACATCAAGAAGGCGAGTGACAGCATGCAACCGAAGCTGGACTCGCTCACTGAGGACGTCAAGAATCTCAAGGTCCAACTTGAAGAGGTCAGGAACAGAGAGCCTGATGCCCGCACAGTGGAGGGTGAATTTGCCAAAGTTGGACCCGTCGCTCAACCGGACCCCTGGGGTGACTACTTGCGGAGGAGAAATGGAGTGGCCACAACTGGAGGACGAGTTCCTGGCTCAGCTGCTCGTGGAGATCCCAATCTTGGAGGCGAGGGTGCATCGGGATCGGGGCGAAGTGCGGGGGACACTCTTTCTGAAGAAGACCAACGTACCTTGATCGTGGGTGGCTGGCTCCAGGACACAAGACGCGCTGTCATTGAGGCCGAGGCGGAGGGAGTGCTCAAGCTGCCCGAGGTTGCTCCACTCCTTGATGCAGAGAAGATCTCCGTGTTTGGACCCAGGCGAAGTGTAGGCATGATTCGGTTTTCTCTTCGAGAAGGGGAGAACTTTGCGGCAATGAAGGAGAGGATGTGGAAGGTTGTACGCGCAGTGGCCCAAGCAAAAGTCGTCTTCCAAAGCACCCGCAATATGGGGGAGGAAAAGTTTGCCTGGGTGGCGTTTATGAAAACCAAAGTGGCCCGTGCAAGGACGGCACACATCAGCATGGTCCGCCGTGTGACGATCCAGCTGGCAGCAGACGTTAAGGATGAAGGAGGCGGCGTGCTCAACTTGGACCACACGCTGGCGGCTTCCTACGACATGGATTGGAGCGCAGGCACCATTTGGTGCGGACCACAAAAACTGGCGTCCGCTACCCACCGTCCGCCCAAGCAAGCAGAAGTGATTACTGTGTCCAGCGGGTGGGTTAACCTGGATGCAATTGCGCTGGTGGCAGGTTGCACAGTGGAGGCTGCCAAGGCAGCTTTCGAACTTGAGCTGTGAGGTCGGGTCAAAGCTTGTTTCACTCCTTCGTCCTCTTCTTGGCAGCCTAAGGCTTCTTCTGGGGTGAAGGAATCTGGTCTTCCTACTCAGTGTGGAAAACACCGATGGGGGAGGGTCATGCAATGGAATTTAGGTGGCCAGGGGCTAAACTTGCTCGATATGGCTGCACTTGATGCTGATGTTCTATTCGTACAGGAGATCTCCCGGGCCAAAGATGGATGGACAGTGGAGGACTCCGAACACTTTCACTGGGTGTCATTCCGGGACAAGGACATGTGGAGGGGCGTTGGTGTGGGAATTGCAATTGACAAGTTTGACTGTGTGATCTCCAAGGTGGCCACGAGACGAGGCATATGGGTGCAAGTTCGCCTGGTTGGGTTGGGAAGAGTTGTACTTGGTTCGCTACATGCCTTCACAGGGGTGACGAACGCGAAGTACCAGGCTGCTGTCATTGAGTTCATGAAGAGCTGTCCTTCCTCTTGGCGGCACCTCCCCATGCTCTGTGGCGCTGACGTGAACGAGACGATCCCCTGGGTTGATGCCGAAGTTGAGGGCAGTCTCTGTGGGGTTGATATGTTGGCTGCTGGGTCTAACAACTTCAACGTGTTGGTTGAACAGTTTGCGGAGGGTGGCCTTCGCCCAGTTCCACCTGACGTCGTGCAGTTCCACACCCCCACTCATTTTCCCCGTGATGCGCTTAGAACTGGCAGACAGATTGATATGCTATGGCACCGCCACCTCTCGCTCGACAAGCTCTTCATCGAACCTGACAGGAGGCACCTGATTGGCACAGACCATGCAGCAATCTGGGTCGACGTGTACACCAGGAAAACTGGGAAGCAACAATGGGGGAATGACTCCAGACCCAGACGGATGTGCAGAGAGTTGCCCGCCCTGGACTCCATTGAAGCTGTTGAGGACGTCAGCCGTTTGGCCGCGGACTGCACGGCACCCAGGACCACCACGGGCTACAAGGACGACGCTGAGGTAAAGTCTGCTTTTGCGGCTGCACGTGAAGACAGGAACAACAGTCGCCTGTGGAAAGACGCTCACCGCCTACGCAGACGCAAGAAAAAAGAGTGGCAGTGTCGTCGTCTGTCGGCGATCTTACAGGGTGACTGGGCCCAGTACCGTGCGCTTCGGAGGGAGAAAGAACGGAAAAGAGGGTGGTGGGGTGGCCTCCTGGAAAATCGCTCCTCGGCATGCCTTACGGACGAGATCAAAGACCACTTGGAGGCCAAGCTTGTCAACAAGTGCATGACTGACTGGGATGACTTGCTTGAGGAGCACATTGTCAATGTTCAGCTTGGGGAGATCTTCGAACCTTTTACGATCATCGAGATGCGTACAGTTCTCCAGGAGATGAGGACTGTCAGTGCAGTTGGCCCAGATGGTGTCTGCGTTGCGCTACTTCGTGAAATTGCAAGCCATGACCTTCTTGCTCCTCAACTCGTTGCACTTGTGAATCGTATTGTTGAGGAAACTGAGATGCCGGTACCCTGGCAGGAGAACTTTCTCGCTCTGCTTGCCAAAGTTGACAACCCTGCATCCCCCAAAGACCTGCGTCCGATATGTGTCAGCTCTGTCTTCCACAAAATGGTCACCAAGATGGTCTGCTCACGGGCGCTTCCTGTGCTACGTACT